TTAAAATTCCACGAGATGCAAGATTATCTTTTGTAGGTAATTTCCTATGAAGTAATTGCCAACAAAATGCACTTACTTTGGGTGGAATAGGTGCTTTGCATACCCTTTTGAAGTCCCCTTCGTGCCTTGGAACGCCCTTTGATAGTTGAGAATAAGCAGACTTAGTTGTGTACTTTCCTGAAGTTTCTAAATGCCAACTCCACTGGTCTTCTTTGTTCTGTGAGGGGTGAGTTGTATTAATTATTTCTGGTAAGAGTAACACAAAGAAAACAAGATTTTTTTTTTCCGCTTTAAGCAAAACTCTTAAAATTAGCAAATTAAGGATACCATTTTTTAAGGAAAGAAAAAAAGATGCTTATTTTTTGCCACAAAAATATTTAACTGTTAAAAGAAAAAAAATTTTCAAAAATCTTGTAGATTTAAATTTATATAATATTTCATATTTCACTAATTCTCAATTAATTTTAATTAGAGATTCCTATAATTTCCGTCGTCGCCAGGCGGCTTGTGATTTATTGAGTCATCACTTATTCATCATTTGTCCCCTGCAAATACGGTTGTGAATTGAGTTGCTAAAAAGTCCTTAAAAAAATGGCTAAAGTTTTTAGGCTCATTATCCTTGTAATTTTCTGCTTCGTTTGTTTAAAAAGGATAAAAACTAATAGTATTTTATCTATTTTAACTCATCCTGATTGTAATGAGTAGATAATGACACTGGTGTAGATGAATTTTGGCGTTTTTATGTACTTAAATTTTATTTTTCAAGATAAATAAATAAATAGGAAGGGAGAAAGTATTTGTATTAAAAAAAAGTCATAACACCCTTGGAAAATCAAAAAGCATGTTCTAGAATTAGGGCTTTGGTTCCTTGGTTGTTAAGGAAACGAAAAATCAACAAGGACAGCAAATGCGATCAGATTCTAATTGGTGCCATGATCAAATGGTCCCAAATTCCAAATTTTGTTCTTCATTTTATACCATTACCTTAATTGCATGCTTTTCTAGATGAAACTTGAGAATATAAATGTAAAAGTATATTTCCAAAAAAAAAAAAAAAACTAGTACTCTTGTTTGAAACACTATCGCTCCTTTATTAGGTCTTCCATATTGTCTTCATTGATGACTATGACTATACTGGTGTGCTTCTTCCTTTCAACTTGCCCTTTTGCCTTCCATTAGAAATTCTTGTTCACATGAATCACCGAGAAACTTTAAGCCATTAATCAAAAAAAAAAAAAAAAGATATTTGAAAAGAGAATAAAGGAAAATTAGTGGTTGGGAGAGGAGGTTAAAATATCGAAAAAAAAATTGTGACCAAAGGATTTCATGAACCGAGTTTACTTTTCTATTATTATTATTATTATTATTATTTTCCCATCCTAGCATCGCCTATGTTAAATCCCATCCCAACATTTGGTATTAATTTAGTAAGTAGAACAATTAAATAAAAATCTAAGGAGTAGTTAATAGTTGAATGAGAGTGTTAATTTGAAACAATACGCTTCGTTTATTTCCATGCTCCCGATCAAGTGGCTTGCCACTTAGTGAAATCATCCCTTGGTGAGGTTGAGAGTTCGAGGCCCAAGACTGTGAGATTCTCCTTCCTTAGAACAAATACTAAATTTACAATGAAAGAAACAATATTTTTATCAGTTGAATAAGAGTATTTGGGACGGTTTTCAGCAGGTTAAGGACTGTTAATTACCGAAATCACTGCTTTTCCTTGAAGCTAGCATAGCAGTTAGGATT